GATCCTTGAGAACATAGTTATTGATGGAGATGCAGTAAATACTCTAATATATACCATCACACTTCACTTTGTAGGGAGTACGGCTCTTTTATCAGCTAGATCTGAGGATCTACTTTCAAATCTTTGTTGTCTAACTCTCTCACATTTCAAATGGTATAAAGATGCATTTTATTCCAGACTGCTATCCAGAGAAGATAGTAAAGCTGACCTTTGGAAAGAAAAATTCATTGTTGAACTTCTTCATTTATTTGGAGAAACGGTTAAAATAAGATTGAAAAATAAGCATAGAGGAATTATTTCTTATTCTTTTGTATACTCTTGGAGAATTATCAACAGAAATATGTGCTGAAGGTCTTGCTTTATGCACAGACTTAAAATTGGAAAGACAATTGGAGAAACAAAGAATGATGGGGAAAAATGAATTGGGAGATTTTTATGAGCAATTCGGCTTTAATACAATACTTACTTCCAAGCCCTCTCATAAACAGAAATTTAGAGACTCTAGAGATTCTAGAAAGATAAAGTTTAGACATTCAAAAAGAAAGAAAAATACCTTTCCTAAGAAATTCTTACAAGGTCACTCCTTTAAACAAAAGGGAAAAAGGAAAATATAAGTTTGCTATAACTGTAGAAAAGTAGGACACTATAAAAATAAATGTCGTGTGAAAAAGAAAATAAATGCTCTAAAAATAGACCTTGAAATAAAAAAAGCAATTATTTGATATCTTCTTAATTAAAAGAGATGATTCTGAAGAATCTTCTGACTCTGATGAAGAAATGCTCATCGGAGAGATAAATGATGAAGAATTGATTTTCTCTAGTTCAGACTCTTAAACAGATTATGAAGATATAAATTGTCAGTGCAATTTTTTGAAAGACCTAAACTTAAATACTTTGACTAAGAAAGAAAATCTCATAATTTACCTAATTGATAAAATAAGTGAGGCTAAAAGAGAAACCTTAATTCATTATCTCAACATGGCCAAAGAACCTTCAAGTTCTCTTGCTCCTAAACCAACTCTAGTTTCTACTAATGAAGATTACAGCTTTAGTGATATTTTGAAAAGAGTTCAAAATAAAACTCAACACCAAAAAACACCTACAATTCATGATCTAAAAAATGAAATAAATGAGGTCCGAAATGAACTAATAACTCTACAAACTAGAGTACAAATTCTTGAAGTAGCAGCGACTAATAATAAAAGTGGGAATGAAGAAGAAAATCATGAAGAAGAATTTAATAATCTTTGCATGATTATAATTACAATATGTTACCACCCGAAATGGAACATACACTCCCAAGAGTAATAGACGATCCACAAACTTCCAATAACTGTAATATGTTAAGAAAAATACAAGATTATAAATATGTAAACCTCCTGGATAAAGTGATAACCCAAAGATGGTTTACCATCATAAAAATAGTAGTACAAAAGGAATTTACTTTTCAAATTACTGCTCTTATTGATTCAAGAGCCGATCTAAACTGTATAAATGAAGGATTGGTTCCAACCAAATATTTCAATAAAACGACCCAGATTTTAAATACTGCAGATGGTAGTAAAATGATAATAAAATATAAACTATCTGATGCAACAGTTTGTAATAAATAGTGCATGCTTTAAATTTCCTTTTATAATGGTTAAAGGATTGAGCCAGCCTGTGATACTTGGAACTCTCTTTTTAAACATGCTCTATCCCATTAAAATTGACAATACTGGGATAAAAGCTGATATCGAAGGATATGAAGTAAAATTTGACTTTATTGATAAACCAAGAATTCATGAAATAAATAACATCAAAAATAAGATTTCTACAAAAAAAAGATTTCTCTTTCATTTAAAAGAAGATGTTAAGTATAAAACTATTGATGAAAAATTAACATCTCCACAAATACAAAGTAAAATCATTAACTTCAAAACAATATTGAAAAAAGAGTTTGTGTTGAAATCCCTAACTCTTTTTGGAATACAAAGCACCACATTGTGGAACTTCCTTACGAATCAGGTTTTAACGAACATAAAATTCCAACTAAAGCTAAGCCAATACAAATGAAAAGCAGACTCCTAGAAATTTGTCAAACTGAAATACAAGAATTCCTTGACAAAAAACTAATCAGAAAAATTTCTTCACCCTAGAGCTGTATAGCTTTTTATGTAGAAAAAACTTCGAAGATTGAAAGGGGAGCCCCACGCCTTGTTACAAATTATAAATCTTTAAATAAGGTTTTGAGATGGATTCGCTACCTTATTCCAAATAAAAGGGATCTCCTTGATTGATTAGTTAATGCCTGTAGTTTTTCAAAGTTTGATATAAAATCAAGATATTGGCAAATTCAAATTTTGGATAAAGATAAATATAAAACAACATTTAATGTTCTTTTCAGACACTTTGAATGGAATGTAATGCCTTTTGGGTTAAAAAATGCCCTTTTAGAATTTTAGAACATTATAAATGACATTTTTAATCCATATACTAAATTCAGTACTGTTTATATTGATGATGTCCTCGTATATTTTGATAATATTGACCAACATTAGAAACATTTAAATATATTTTTAAAAGCTATAAAAAACGTCGGACTAGTTGTTTCTGAAAGAAAAATAAATCTTTTAAAACAAAAATTAGGTTTCTTGGGCATAATATCTTTCAAAGAAGGATAATTCCTATCGATAGGGCAATTGAATTTGCTTCCAGATTTCTTGACATCATAAAAGATAATAAAGAATTATAGAGATTTTTAGGATGTCTAAATTATATTTCAAATTTTTAATAAAACTTATATACTTCCCCTTATCCAACCTTCTATTCTTGATGGAGGGCTAAAATTGCCTTAATCACAATGTCATATCTCTACACTACTTTATTTTTAATTTTTTTTCTATAAACTATTTTACCACCAAATTTTGGACATCCAATCCTCTATTAAACTCACACTAGAGAAAAATATATATAAAAAATTTACAATAAAAGAAAGTGGCCAAAATATCTTTAAAAGTTTTAAAGGGTATTTTGGTCATTATATTTTATCTAAAAAATATTTTTAATATTTTTTATAGGTGCGCCTCAATGAGAAAATGGCACGTATAAACAAAAACTAAAATTAAAATACTTTGATATATCAGATCTATAATAAAATAATGATTGAACAGCTAGATAGTAGGAAAAGCACATAAACATACATCTTCTACGATGTAGGAAACGTATAGAAACCTTTCCCCTGACGTACTTTGTAGAGAGAATGGGAATGTGCCTTTATCCCTTAACTCTGGCTGTAATATACATAACATCTTTTATTTTTTATACACAAAGTATGGGGACATATCTCGGACTTTGAGCATGGTCTCAAATCAAGTTGCACGTGGTCCAGTTCTATGGAAATCACAAAGCTTGAAGTATCTCTTATCCGATAAGAATGGCATTTACAACAGGATCATGTGCATAATGTCATATAGACCAACATTGAGAGACCCTATGGTCTAGAAATAGGGGATTCTTTGCTGATTTTCTTGGAATATAATGGAGAAATTTTTTTTATGGTTTGTATCCCTGGATAAAGATCACATGGTTTAGATCACTGTTTATTATCACGAGGTCATTTACTTTTAGTATATAGAAGTCATAATCAATTCGAGCTTAGGTCATTTACTTTTTGTTATTTTTTTTAATTTTTTTATTTTTATTTTTTTAGACAAGAAACCTCGGTATAAACTGGCCAGCGCGTAGGCTCGAGTCCTACCAACGCTAAAGTAAAAGGATCTCATCCCCATTGAGTTATGGAAAAAAAAAGGAAAAAAAAAAAAAATTAATATTGTGAAAAAGAAAAGAAAAGAAGCGAAAGTCATTTTTTCAACTTTAAGCTGATAGCAACATATAAAGGTCAGAGGCAGTGCTCTACAACGAAGTAAAAGTAACTTGCGATGATCTACACCCCTCATAGTAAAAAGTTTATATGGAGTCGAGGCTCTAAACAATCGAATTAGAAGCTACCTCTAAAATTTCACTAGAAGAGATCGTTTTGATGCCCAAAGTTTATATAGAGCCGAGGCTCTAAACAATCGAATTAGAGCCTACCTCAAAAATTTCACTAGAAGAGGTTGTTTTGATGCCCAAATATCCTCAAATTGATCATCTCGACATCAAGATGTACGAAAATGAGAAAAATATAGATTCCAAGTTTTTAACACATTTTTGGACCGTCAATTTTTAAGACTTTCAAATCTGCTTGATCTCCACTAGTTTTGAAGATTTAAATTTTATAATTAAAGATGAAATATATTTTAAAACTATCACAAATATGAAATACCTGAGGAAGTAAATACATAATATGGTCCCTCTAGAGGATCAAATCATTTGTCATCAACTTCTACTACTATCTTAACAATTTACAACATATCACTGGGTTGGGGTCATAGTGATAGCACCACTTACTCCCCAACTAAGGTGTAGGTTTCAATTCTCACCTAATGCATTAAAAAATCATTAACGATTTCAAAAAATAAGTACGAGATAGTATTTCAAAACGAGCGGATCGCTTTGATTAAGTGATTTAAAAATATATAAAAAATAAATAAAATAAAAGAAATATTTAAATAGGTAAAAAAATATTAAAAATAAATAAAATAAAATAAAAATTTAAAAGTAGGAATGAGATATTTCGAGGGAACCAAAAAAAAAAGAAAAAAAGATAAACTTAAAGAAAAAATATATTTTAAAGAGGTTAAGGAGGAACCGCTGTGGCATATACAAACCAGGAAAAAGGATAAATTTAAAAAATATATGTATACTAAAGGGCTTAAGGAGGAACCGCTGGCATATACAAACCAGGGTGGCATTAGACCCGGACTTGCCCTAGGTCCCAGGTATGGGTCCAAGAATTGGAACGCGTGGGTAGGGTCGGGGTCCAGATCCGATAAAAAAGTTTGGATCCCAATTTTATGAAATATATTTAAACGTAGTTAAGTAGATAGATATTTTAATTTTTAGCTCGGTCCATGTCCCCTAACAATTTTTTCAAGCACGTACCCGAGTCCGGGTCGGGTGAAACGATCCGTTGCCACTCTAAAACCGCACCCACGATTGCATGGATTTCCCCCCAAAACCCCGAGGAATGATTTTAAGCTCAAAAACTTGGAATCATTTTTGCTCTTTCCTTGTTGTTTTATCATACTTGTACCAGCAGGTCGCAACAAAGAGATTCAATTCATTTAATGCTGCTGGAGAGAGAGAGAGAAAGAGAAAGAGACAGAGTGTCGATTAATTCAATGCTCGCAGAGAGAGAGAGAGAGGAGGCTAAAAAATTGGGAGCTCTGCTTTAAAGAGAGAAATAACGATTGGGGTTTTCCGTACCTTAGAGAGAAAACCAGGAGTTAGAATCTTTTTTCGTTTTTGTAGAGAAAATGGCAAGTGGGGAAGAGGTGAGTAACCAGCAGATCATATTGAAGAACTATGTGACTGGGTTTCCCAAAGAAACAGACATGGAGGTGGTGTCAAGCTCCATTAAACTCAAAGTACCAGAAGGCTCTAACTCCATTCTTGTGAAGAATCTCTACCTCTCTTGTGACCCCTCACTGAGGGTTAGAATGCGAAAACCAGAAAACTTGGGTTATTTCGTTGGCTTCACACCTGGCTCTGTAAGTACCCATCTCCTTTGTTTCTATGCTTTCCAGTGATTCTTCTTTCAATTTTTTTCTGGTGGATCCAATCAGTCACCCACCAGTTCTCCGAGCGGCACCGCCCAATTCGGTGCGCAAGTTTGGTGAACTGGTGAAATTATTTTGAGAAATTAAAGATTTGCATGTTTATTTAAAATTGTAGATTTGACTCATCAAATCAGTATCTCAGGACTCGACTGAGTAACTCGCTTTGGCCAACGCAAGGCCGAGACCAGTTCCAGTGGCCCAGTAGGCCCCTGTTTAAAATGATTAAACATACGTATTTTTTGGTAAAAAATTGTAATTAAATAATTTAGAAATCATTTATACGGTTTTCATGATGATTTTGGAAGTTTTCTTTGGAAATGTTCCAATTTTTATTTTCTTATTTTTTTTATTTTTCTGAATATTTCTATGTATAAATCAAAAAGTTCAATAATCTATCTTTTATGTATTTGTTTTGGACTTTTATGGACTTCTAATGAACTCTATTTATTCATTTTACTATTTCCTATTTTTAATAATTTTTGACAAATCTTTTTTTTTACTTGGCTCGGGCTAGGGCGGAGTTAGTGGCTCGAGCCGAGGAAAAAAACATTGCATCAAACAATATACAAATGCTGATTCTAATCATTTTAAAATAGTTTTAACTCGAACAAATATTGGTTTAAATAGGAAAAAAATGTTGAATGGTGATAGAAAATTCACATTTTGGATCCTTTTGTCTTTTATCATTTGTTTGGGGCCTTTTTTTGTCACTACATTGCATTAGGTTTCATGCAATATATTTGGTGTAATATATTTGGTAAAATGAAGAGTAATAGGTTTTGGTAGAGAAATTTGATGGACAAAATGATTTTGAGATATGAGAAATTCAAGTTCATGATCTTTTCGTTCAACAAGGATTATACAAAACATTATGTCGAAAGGAAAAGAAATCAGAATCTATGAGTAATAAGGATTGGGAGGAAATAGACCTATAATTCAATTGTGCCTAGCAAATAAGGTTTTATTCAATATAGTAGGAGAAAAGACGACAAAGGGTTTGTGGGAGAATTGGAAAGTGTTTATTAAAGCAAATCTCTTACAAACCATATTTTATTAAAGAGAAAATTGTTTAGTTTAAGGATGAAAGAGGGGACAAAAGTTTAAAATTATTTGAACACTTTCAATAACATTATTTATAAACTTAATAGTGTTGGTGAAAAAATGAAAGATGAGGACAAGACGGTAATGTTGTTATGTACTTTACCGGAATCTTATGATAATTTAATGTCAACATTAAGTTGCACTAAAAAAGATTCACTTGACATAAGTATGGTGACTAGTACTTTGCTTGCCCATGAACTTCAAAAAAATGCATCTATTGGAGAATCAGAATCGGAAGTCCACTTTTCAAGGGGTCGTTCAAGTGAGAGAGGTAACTCCTCTCGAAATCTTTCAAGATCTAAGTTGAAAGGTCGATTTAAGTCTAAAGGCAGAGAAAACAAGTTTATTTGTTGGGGATGTGGTGAAGCCGGACATATGAAAAAAAAATTGTACAAAAAGAAAAGGGCAAAAATTTGAAAAAGCAAAGGAAACCAATGAGTCTAAAAATGAGGTAAATCAAGTGAAGGAATCTATATCCAGTTTTATTGAATAAGAGGTTTATGCCGTGGGTTGCAATCCCGAATACCATCAAATTGGATTTTGGATAGTGGTGCTACACATCATATGTGCTCACACAAGTCATGGTTTAGTTCATATGAACCATGTGATGGTGGTTTTGTGTTAATGGGAAACAATTCATAATGGGAAACAATTCAAGTAGTAGTATGATAGGGATCGGCATGGTGAAATTAAGTATGTATGATGGAAGTATCCACACGCTTGAGCATGTTCGACATGTGCTGGACTTGAAAAAAATTTTAATCTCTTTCTTTATTGGATTCCCATGGCTATAAATTCACCAAACAAGGGGCAGTTCTCAAAGTATCTAAGGGTGCTCTTGTTGTGATCAAGGGTGTTAGAGTTGGGAACTTGTATAACTTGTTGGGAAGCTCCATTATTGATGATGCAAAAAATTCGGTAGTGGAGAGTAATGATCTTCCACTACGCTTATGGCATAAGAAGTTCGCCCACTTGAGTGAAAAGGATATGGAGATTTTGATGAAGAGGAAGTTAATTCCCATCATAAAATTTGAGGAATCCAAATTTTGTGAGCCTTGTGTCTATGAGAAACAACATAGACAAATCTCCGAAGCCAGAAGCCATATAAGCAAGGGAATACTTGATTATATTCACTCGGATTTATGGAGGCCCTCACCCATAATGTCATATAGTGGTGCATTGTATTTTATTTATTCTATAAATGAATTCTCAAGGAAGGTATGGGTGTTCACTCTTAAATCAAAGAGTGATGCATTTTTTGTCTTTAAGTATTTTAAGGCCGAAATTGAGAAGAGTACGGGGCGCCACATCAAAACACTTCGCGTCGACAATGAGAAGGAGTACAAGTTTAACGAGTTTACAAAATTTTGTAAAGATGAAGGAATCAAAAGGCATTTCACCACGGTTTACACTCCCCAACAAAATGGTGTTGCGGAAAGGATGAATTGCATTTTGATGGAGCGAGCTAGAAGAATGTTGAGCAATGCCAAATTGGAGCAAGAGCTATAGGCTGAAGCCGTGATGATGACTTGTTATCTCATCAATCGATCACCTTTGGTGGCTTTGGGGGATAAAATACCCCAAGAGGTATGGTCTGAAACTCCTAGTGATTATTCCATTTTAAAGATTTTTTGTTGTGATGCTTATATTTAATTCCTAGTTGCCAAAGAAATAAGTTTGAACCAAAATCAAATAAATGCATTTTTGTTGGGTATAGCAAATGGGTGAAAGGATACCGGTTTTGGGATTCAAGTGCCCGAAAGTTAATTACAAGTCGAGATGTGTATTTTGATGAGTCATCCGTGTTGACAAGAGGTGTAGGAAATGAGATTAAAGAAAGGGAAGAATCTCATAATGACACCTAAGAAATTGATTTGAACCTTATGTCCCATCATCTAGTGAGGGCTATATACCGAAAGAAGCACCCACAAGTATCAATGAAGAAGCCATTAATGAAGAAGGGGAAGTTGGTGAACCATGTGATTCCCATGAAAAAGTTACACCATCCATGACAAGAAGATCTACAAGGGTAATTCGTCCATCCGAGCAATTTAGGGACTACGTGAATCCCGAAGTACTATATGCTTTGGTTTTTATGAATGAAGAACCGAACACTTATCAAGCTATGGAAGGGGATGATTCCATATCTTAGACAAAAGCTATGGAAGATGAAATGTTGGCTCTTCTGAAGAACAAGACTTGGGATTTAACAGAATATCTAAGGGTAGAAAAGTGGTTGCTTGCAAGTGGGTGTTCAAAATCAAGAAAGGGATTGATGGAAATCTAGAAAGGTATAGGGCTAGGCTAGTTGCAAAGGGATTTGCACAAAAGGAAGGTGTCAACTTTTTTGAAATATTTGCACTGGTTGTCAAGTTAGACACTATTAGGTTGGTGCTTGGGCTTGTTGTATTGTATGATTTAGAACTTGAACAAATGGATGTAAAAATGGCTTTTTTACATGGTGAACTTGAAGAGGAGGTGTATATACAACAACCGGAAGGATTTCTTGAAAAATGAAAAGAAAGGCTAGTGTGCAAGCTGAAGAAATTCATATATGGAATCAAACAAGCATCAAGACAATGGTACAAGACCTGTAACATGTTCATGATTGGTCATGGATACCATAGGAGTGATTGTGACCATTGTGTTTATATGAAGTTTTTTATGATGGTTCTTATTTAATCTTAGTTTTATATGTTAATAATATGCTTTTGGCATGCAAGGGTAAGGCTAAGATTGATGAGCTCAAGGCATATTTGAGCAAGAGTTTTGAAATGAAAGATCTCAGGCCTGTAAAACAAATACTTAGAATTGAAATCCAAAGAGATCAATGGAGTGAGAGAATTGAAATCCAAAGAGATCAACGGAGTGGGACTTTGTTACTTTCACAAAAGAGCTTTGTAGAAAAGATGCTTGATAAGTTTGGCATAAGCATGGCAAAGCCGATGAAGACTCCATTAGCTCCTCATTTCAAGTTGTCTTCCAAGCAAAGTCCGAAGACCGCGAATGAAAAGGAGAATATGGCTAAGGTGTCATATGCAAGTGTTGTGGGAAGCCTAATGTTTGCCATGGTGTGTACTAGACCGGACATAACATATTCGGTTGGTGTCTGGAGTCGCTTTATAGTAAATCCCGGAAAAGCTCATTGAGAAGGTGCAAAATGGGTGCTTCATTATTTGAGAGGCACAATGATTATGCCATGACATTTAGCAAAGGCTCGAGGCACATTCAAGGCTATGTTGATGCAAATTATGCCGATGATCTTGATAGAGGAAGATCAACTACCGACTATGTTTTCAAGTTTACAAATGGACCGGTAAGGTAGATGTCTAAGCTTCAATCAACGGTGGCATTGTCTACCACCGAGGCGGAGTACATGGCGGCAACCGAAGCAAGCAAAGAAGCGGTTTGGCTTCATGGCCTTATGAGAGAATTGGTTATCAATTCTAAGGCTATAGAAATACTTTGTGATAATATGAGTGTCATTAATTTGGCTAAGAATCCTGTTTATCACAAGAGGACAAAGCACATATTAGTTCAATACTATTATGTTTGACAGGTTGTTGAAGATGGTTTGGTTTGGTTAGTGAAAGTTGAAACCAAAGAAAATGTGGCGGATATGCTCATGAAGACGGTTCCGGTAGAGAAGTTGGAATGGAGCCTAAGTTCTTTAGGCTTCATGAAGAAGTAAAAAGGGGATTATCGATAAGACAAGTAGGTGATTTGCTATCAAGGTGGAGATTGTTGAATGGTGGTAGAAAAATCACATTTTTTATGCTTGTCTTTTACCATTTGTTTGGGTTTTTTTTTGGTCACTACAATTAGGTGGC